ACTAAATGGTCAGAAAAAAAAAAAAGACTTAGAACTGAGGGAAACGGCGGTTAGTTTTTTTTTGGAAGGCGGTGCTCTGGAGTTAGTATGGAGGTTATTCGACGAAAGGGTGGTGGTTTTTGGTTTTGATTGGTCTTTTTTATTTGGTCTGGCACAAAGTGTTTTAACTTTCAACATTCGTGTAGGCTGGCTCTTTGCTGTGGGATAGTGTTTCGTGTCGGCTTAGTCTTTGCTGTGGCATAGTGTTTCTGCTTAGGGTTTGCCATCCAGTATGAAAGGGCATGCGGTCAGGTGTGTGTGATCACTGTGATGTGATCAAAACGGCGCATGTGGTCAGGTGTGCGTGATCAGAACGGCACATCACAACTCAGTGGTATCTCAATGTGAGCATCTTTCTCAAAAAAAAAAAAGCATGACTGCTGAGAGGCCACCCTCGTACGCACGACGCTAAAAGTAAACCCAAAAAAAAAACAAGAATCGTAGACGTAGAAACTGGAAAAACTGATACCGTCGGTGGGCTGCCACGACAATCTACAAATCGTGAATCTGGGCGCGTTTGTGAAAAAGTCCACACAGTCGAGAAGAATGTTTTTTCTTTTTGGGCCAACCCCCCCAACTCCCCCCCCAAACCGTCGAGATATATGTGCCCAACCGTTGGTAGGCAACGCCGCCGCAACTACGCTGTACCTGCCGCGTTTCCCGTCTATAAAAATTTCTCGAAACAGAAAGTTTCCTCAACGCCCGAATCTGGACGTTTTTGTGTAGATGTGCAGAAAGTCGCAACCCCCCTAAGCGCAGGCATCGGTGCGCAACACCCGGGCTCSGCATGACTACAACAAAGACCGTCGCTGCGCCACCACTAACAGTTCACACTGCACTCGTTACCTTACTCTTATAGATTCTGTTGTAGGATGTCTGTTGTAGGAGTTGGAATCGCCCTGCTCCCTGGTATTCCACAGGGAGACACAGCCCCTTGTCGGAGCTGAGGGCTATGGCCGAACCTAGAGATCATCGAGGAAAACATCGTTCCATCCCCCACCCCGAATCCCGAACTCGCTGCCGACGCAGAGCGCTGCGGTCTCCGGACAGCGAGTACGCCGGGTAGCGCAGCGCCTCATCGGGCTGCGTTCCCCTCCTGCACCCCTGTGTATTCTTTGCCTACAGCAGCCAGTAGCTATCTTGCGAGACGAACGCGGCAGGTTGGTTGGCTAGATGGACGGAGGGGTAGCTTACAAGAGACTGGAGAGGCTGCCAGTGCGGCCGTCATCGGCCAGCACGTAGCAACGAAGCAGTGGCGTTGTCAAACGATTGCTCGGTCCGTCCAGTTGGGCGACGGAGGCCGTTGGGTGGACGAGAGGGACCTGCTGTTAGGTGAAGAGGGAGGGGTGGTGGCGACTTGCATTATCAGTCATTAGGTAAGAGATGGCTACAATGACTCTCGTTGCTGTGGAGGCGGCGCGAATGGCGGGCGTTGGCGTCCGCGTCGGCGCGTCAGCGTCGTTTGTCGGCAAGGCGCGCGAGTGCGGCGATGTCGCCGGCGCAGCCGGGCTGGTGAGCGAATTGTCGCACCATGCGGCACAGGGCACAATGCCGGCGTCATGGCCGGCTGCAATGCAGTCGAAGGAAATGGCGGGCACTCCCGCGCGTCTACCGCCCATCTGTCGCGGGAGCTGTCTGCAAATGGGGTCGTCCGCGATGGTGAATGCTACGCCAAAGAGCTGCGGCAGATTCCGTGTTACCTCTGGAAGCTGTAGAGTGGGACCTGGCAAAGGCTTCCAGACGTTCTGTATGAAAGTGGCGAAGGGACTGTCGTTTCTCCCCTTGAGTGCAACAGCGTCGCTGAGAGGGAGACGCTGGGCCATGACAGGGCTGGGGAAGAGCCACGCGGCGGCCGCAAGACGACGACGAGGTGGAACCGCTGCTGCAGGCGGCATGGCCATGGCGACCGGGTCATCGTCTCCGGAGAGAGAGAAGGACTCCAAACAGCGCGTTGTGATAACAGGAATGGGTCTCTGCTCGACCTTCGGCAATGACGTGGACACGTTCTACGGCAAGTTATTGGATGGCGTGAGTGGTGTGGACTTCATCGACCGTTTCGATGCCTCTAGCTTTCCGACGAAGTTCGCCGCCCAGATCCGGAACTTCAGCAGCGAGGGTTACATCGACCCGAAGAGCGACCGCCGTCTCGACGACTCCCTCAAGTACGCTCTCGTCAGCGGAAAGAAGGCTCTGGAGGACGCCCATCTCAGCGGCAAGGGGTTGGAGAAGATCGATAGGCAAAGGGTCGGAGTTCTGGTTGGAAGCGGGATGGGTGGATTGACTATGTTCTCTGACTGCGTGCAAGCGCTGATCGAGAAAGGCTATCGGAGAATCTCTCCCTTCTTCATACCGTACACGATAACAAACATGGGGAGTGCTTTGCTGGCCATCGAGTGCGGATTCATGGGCCCCAATTACTCAATCTCGACAGCGTGTGCGACATCTAATTACTGCATTTACGCGGCAGCCAATCATATCAGACGCGGGGAAGCGGACGTGATGTTGTCTGGCGGCACGGAGGCGGCGATCATTCCCGTCGGGTTGGGGGGTTTCGTTGCGTGCAGAGCGCTGTCGACGAGGAATGACGATCCGATGACTGCCTCCCGGCCGTGGGACAAGGGAAGGGAGGGGTTTGTCATGGGAGAAGGAGCGGGTATCTTAGTCATGGAAAGTCTGGAGCACGCGCAGAAGAGAGGAGCACGGATCTTTGCCGAGTACCTCGGTGGCGCTGTGACGTGTGACGCCCACCATATGACTGATCCGCGACAAGATGGCCTCGGAGTGTCGACGTGTATTGAGAAGGCTTTGGAGGACAGCGGTGTCGCTGCCGAAGAAGTCAACTACATCAATGCGCATGCCACGTCGACGATCGTTGGTGACGTGGCAGAATTGAAAGCCATCAAACAAGTCTTCAAGAACCCCGGCGACATCACGATGAATGCCACTAAGTCGATGATTGGGCACTGCCTCGGCGCCGCAGGCGGTCTGGAAGCCATCGCGACGATCAAGGCCATTCAGAGTGGGTGGATCCATCCCACGATCAACCAGATCGATCCTGAACCCCTGGCACTCGAGTTTGACACTGTGCCAGGAATGAAGAAGGAGCTCGATGTCCACGTGGCGGTCTCCAATTCATTTGGTTTCGGAGGCCACAACTCTTGTATCGTCTTTGCCCCCTTCAGACCTTGAGACAGTGCCATCCGTCCTATTCACCTCACCCTGTTCTTGTTCTGCCGGCGGGCATGTAATTCGGCGTGCCTGTTTGTCCTGTCTCCGTTTGGTGAGTATCCGTGGCTCTTCTCTTGAGAATGCAATGGTTTCTTCCACGTGCCTGCTATGAATCTGATTGAACAGTAGCCTTCTGGGGCGTGGCAGGCCACCAACAGATCACTCATCATTTATCAGCGAATGTTCGGTGGGGCCCGCGGAGAGAGAGAGAGAGAGAGAGAGAGAGAGAGAGAGAGAGAGGTTTGAGAAGTGTGGTTTATGGAGTGATGAGAAGCGAGGAGAGAGGAAATGATGCAGCAATTTCAAGACGAGGACGCAGTTCGACTTGAGAAACCAAATTTTCGGATATGGAGGGGCCTCCCAAGCTGGCAAGTTTCGGGGCATTTTTCCAGTGTGCTCGTATACGCATAGCTTCCAGTTCAGCGAAGCCATGGGGAAGCCTGCCCACTGCCGTAATTTCGCAGACTTTCTTCTAGATTCTCTTTTTTTTAGGTTGTGCATTCCTTCTGGATGGGAAAGAAATGGAAGAATCTTGATATGATCTCATATGTATTGTTCGAGACATGTGTGCTACATATATTCTTAAGACTCACAATGGGGTATGGATATTTTCCCATAGATGCGGAGTTGCTAATGAAACATTTCTGTTAGTTGTTCCCCTCCTCCCCTCCAGCTCCCTCTTTCACGCGTTTCTATCCTTCCCTTCTCCGCCCCCCTTCCGCCCTTGTGGATTGAGTTTTACCAGACTTGGCGTTGGACAGCGCCTCGAGAGAACCTTCTCGCCATTAGTCTAATACTTGACACAAGATGGTCAAAGAGAGTCGGTACTTTAATTTCCTGCAAAAAACAAAGAAAAGTATGTTGATAATTCAATAGATCTTCATAAAACGTGGTGGATAGCTCCAGTCCGTCGGCAAAGTAAGACTTCTATTAAGGGTTAGGCTGCCTAGCAGTCCGTGGGTTCCTTGTTTTATGGTAAGGGGTGAATCTTGTGCAGGAGGGTCAATATCATTCCCATTGCTCAAAATAGTTTACTTTGTCTGTCATGATCATGCACGCTCTTCTTCGTGTGACCTTTGCCCGTCGTAGATGCCTCTCACTTTCTTCCTTTCCTTTGTGCTTGCTGTCTTCATTTTATCTTCCTTCCATTTTTCTTAGCTGTTTATCGTTGCCCTGTGTTTCTTTCATGTTTTGCTTTTTTGTTTTTCTCTGGCTGCTTCCTTTCCTCTCCTCTCCTCTGCGGCTTTTATGTCTTTTGGCTCTATTTCTTTGTCGTCATTTTTCTTGCGTTGTGTTTCAGTTGCCTGCCTCTTAAGCTCTTTTGCAGATTTTGCTTCATTTTCTCTTCCTCAGTCTAATTGCAATTAGCCCCTTGAGCATGAGAAGCTTTCACAAGTAGGTCACGTGAGTATACTCACAATGGGAGACGAGCCCAGAATCACTCAATGTAGTCCCAGCATAAGCAGCCAGTCACCAGAAGATGGACGTAGTTACATAAACAGTATATAATTTCATTAATAATATAATTGAATGGGCTCTTCCTTCCCTCTTCACCTCAGGGTTCCTCTCTATCAACCTGCCACCCCAACCAGTGCACGTCTCTCCCTGAAAGTCGCTGATGAAATCTCACTGCAGGTACCAGCTATGGTGCCTAACCTCCAGAATCAGTACTGGCTATGGAGGTTACTAACCTTCTTCACTCTCGTGATGTGATGAGCAGCAGCTCCAATATCCCCAGTGCCCAGGTAAGTTAGATATAGTTCCCACTCTTTCATCCTCTCGATCATAAGTCCTGGTGACCTTCCACACTCTCTCTATTCTGGCTATGTTGGTCTTCTCCTTCCTCCATGCCTCCTCTCGCACTCACTATGGCATGTCACTGTACCACGACACTAATAGCGTGACACTGTAGCTGCACGCTATAGCAGCGTGAGGCAGAATGAATGAGCCATTGAGGCTGCTCACTCTTCTGGAATGTTGACTGGCCTTGGCCTGCCTCAATTTGCAGCCTCCGACGGTACAGATTTTCCCAATCTGGACAGCCCAGATTTGCTGTGGGCCTCAATGTGCTTGGACCCAGTAGGCCATAGAATCTTGTGGGATAAATGCAGACAACCTTTGATTGTGCATCTGATGACCGTGGTTGACTGCTGAGAAATCCCCCACTCGTAGCCCGACTCTTGATTCCCAAGTGCCAACTGTCTCATATAAGGGGATGAGGTTGTCTCGTTTGACGTCGAACGTTATAACCATTGACCCAAGGACTTTTCTCAGACCATTCTAAGCCTTAAAATGTAATTTTTGACCCTTACATCTAGACTTAGACCAAAAGTAACGACCCTTGCCTGTATCTGTTCGGATTTTTAACCCAATTGGTTGCACTTCCGGCTTCCAATTTTCGAGTTCCATTGCAGAAATTCGTTGTTTACCAGGAACGCATTGTATTTTCCCTGTTAGTCCTTTTCGTAACTTGCAATAATATCCGCAACAATGGGTAAAATTTCCTTCGTGCTCAACCAGTTGGCTTCAAACTCTTGTTGATTATTGTACTTATGGTATATTGCTTTCCAGGTCTCCCTCTTCCACCTGTGGAAAAAAAAACCGTATTCTAAAATAGTTTCAACTTGGTATCCTCCATCCATTCCAGGCGGGAATATAGATGGGTGATTGGGAAAATTACCTCCTTCAACGTAAGGTAATATCTTACATCCATTGAAGATGGGGTGGGTCTTGAGATTTGGAGGTACACTAAAGAGATAGGGTGGACCATCATAATTTCCAAAGACTTGAGAACTTTCCTTTAACCACCAGTACCTCGCCCAGCTAAAAAAAAAGCTCGCGGATGTTAACGCAGCTTTCGGGGGTCGGGGGAGGTGAACGCCCGGTAGTGCCTCATTCTGGAGGGCGGTCGCTTCAGGGTCGGGCACTTGTCTCGGCGAAAAGCAAAAAAGAAAAGAAAAACAATGAAAGGACCTACATTCGGCTTTCTAAATAAGAACAGAAAAAGGAAAGAAAAAAAAAAAACAAAGAAAGAAATAACGAGAGAGAGAGAGAGAGAGAGAG